GCAAGAGCTATTCATTCGTCTACCGGATACGGTAGATAGTTGTGTTTGCGTGGCAGATGGATATACGTATCCGCTCAGCCCAGGCGCCAATCCCGTCCCAATAAATGGAAAAAAGGCGAGTTTCAAATTTGGGGGAATGTTTCTTAGTATACAATTTTTCTAATATCATGAGGAAGTGTTTCTGAGCTGTTCTTTATTGCGCCTAAACTTTAGACATTTTTAGGAAAACAAACAAAAAATTCGATTTTTCTACCCAAAAAATCGATTTTCATCAAAATTTCGAATTTTTTCCGTATTTCCCCCATTAAAATATAGCTGAGGATCACGAAAAATACTGCTAAAGTAATCGGCATTTCGCCATCCCTGGAAAGTGAGCCCCACCTCCCCCTGCCTCCGATAACGCAAACGAGCTTAAAACTTAAAAACCATTTGTAAACACCCCGGTAAAATTTAAGAGCGACATTCACACTCTCGATCTAAATCACGAAGGTTTAATAAAAATCTAACTATATATAAAAAAATGGTGTTAGTGTGTGTAGATTTGCATGCAACTTCCGTAAGTATGTCGGGGACCTACAGCCTCAGGGGAAGGTTTTTAAGCTATGTTTGATACGTGATTAGGTGCGCAAAGGTCCCAAGATGAGTGCACACATATAAAATGTAGAAAAGTCGGCTGTTTTCGCTATTAAAATTAAGTTTTTGTAAAGATATCGAAAAACCTCTTTGTTAGGAGCCAATTTGCATACGCCGGAAGTCCGAAGTGCCTATATAAAGGGGCCAGCGGGCGTCCTTTTCATTTTTTCGATCCAAAATTCGGGAAGAAATATGCAATTTTTTTACTGTCATGTAAGTTAGAGGGGGCCAGGGTTGTAAAGCCGCGAAGCGGTTTGTCAACCCTGATTAAAATCTAAACATATTTGCTAAAACCAAATAAACCGCTTGGAACATGTCAAAAAAATGTGTTCCAAACCAATATAATTCCCGGCGGTTTACAAAATTTTTAATCGGGTTGCGGCATGTTTCATTCTTCTTCTCACCCCAGAATCCATGAACGGATCTCTTAGCTGTGGGGGATTTTCAGAGAAAATGAAAGAGTGGAGAGCGAGAGGGAGAGGGAGAGAGAGAGAGAGAGAAACCAATTTAGGCATTCGTCTACGATTGGCCAGTCGGCAGTTATCTGATAATTTCTGGGGTTACGGTAGCCTCGCTCTCCCTCGAAATGAGGGCCATCCAGGGGACAATGCCCGAATATCCACAATGCGCCAATTTGGGCGATACAGGTAACGCTTTCAATAAATCGAAAATAAAAATCGGCATTTTAACGACTAAAATTCCATTCGTTTCTGACAAATTAATTCACTATTTATTTAAAAACAACGATTCTTGGGGTAAGGATTTCTGCTTTTGGCGCGCACTAATAGTTTTGAAGCATGCTTCGTAACAATCCGAAGTGAAACACTCATTTTCTCACGATTTTTGAAGGTCCTCCATGATAGGTTCACTCATAAACCACATTTTGCACATTCGTTTTTCCTACATTTTTAAATTTTTGAGACAAAACTGTTAATGTAATCTTCAAATGAAATGTTCGAGGTTTCAAATCTCACATCATCGTAATTACGGAATCAAAATTCATGCTCATTTGCAAAATGCGCGAAACATTTTTTGTCCAATAATCGGATGCTGCTATTTTTAACAGAAAACCCTTGTCTTCATTTTGAAAACTGCTCAAGATTTTCGTATCTATAACTTAGTTTAACAGAAAATTGCAGCTATATCAAAATGACACTACTCGAGTGGCATCACTGGAGACGACGTGGCTCGGCCAGTTCCACAACGAAACCACCGTATATTTTCGACGCAGGGCGACACAGTTATACCATGTAACTTAACTTTTAGTTTTTCTTGTTCTCGCTCTCTCCCTCTATCCCTCCCTCTCTCTCACTCCCTCCCTCTCTCTCGCCCTATCTCTCTCTCTCACTCTCATCAAACCTATCGTTAAAAATATTTTTCAGATGTACACCGGAAGCCGCCTTGTCGATATGGCCCTTAATTTGACCCAAATCCCGACTGTTTTCTTGGTATAAATCATATTCAAATAAACTCAATTAATTTAAAATTAAATTAATTAAATACCATACTTCCAGATCGAAGGCGAGGGTTCGGTCTACGTTGACGTATACGCGCCGGATGTCACTCCTAGCGTACGTTGATTAAATCATTCAGGAAATCCTTGAAACAACAATGTTTCATTTAGAATTCAATTGAATTCTAATATTTGATACACAGTTTTTCTCTTTTTTTTTGCAGCGCTACATTCCGTTCGGGTCCTCTGTACAGTACGGTGACACGCTGACGATCAACGGATTTGTGCAGCAAAACAGCTTTTCGTGTCGGTCATTTTATGCGGTATCCCTCGTTAAAGGTGTCGGTATTTTTTGTTTTTCTTTTTCGTTCGGGAATCCTGAAATTAGGTTTGTAAACTTAATTTAAATAATGCAAAATGTTGCTAACCTTAAGATTAAATCAGGTGACGTTTGCTGTTAATCAAATTAGTTTTTTTAACATTTTTAAATTATGTGTTTTTTAATTAATATATTTATAATTTTCAACATTTAAAATGTTTTAAAAAGGAAAGGTTCAATTAAGGTTTAAACAGCTATTTCGATACTTTTACATAGCAATGGCAGATTAAAACTGTTTGTTTCATCTTTTTACATTGCTAGCCCGAATTTTTTGGCCGTAATAAGCCGCGTTTATGGTATTCTTATTTAATTTGTTTATCCTTATGTTTATTGATGCTGCTAAATCGCTTTGATTTTAGTGGAATTCTACAGCGCAATGGGTACGACGTCCGTCTGGAAGTTGTCTTTTACCGGTATGCAAATTTGCCCTTTTTTAATAAGTAAAGAATAATAGAATAAGAGAGTATAAAAGTAGAGAATAAAAATAAGTAAAGTAAAACATAAATATATAGGATAATTTGTTTCTAAACTTTTTTTAATATCTCTAAACTGAAGAATTTGTACCTAAAAACGACAATAATTAAAATTACAAAAGATACCAAAAAATCGGGTTTTTGCCTATGAATGACCGATTTTTAGCGAAACTTCCAAACGTTACAGATTTTTTAGATATTTCTACTTGAATTTTGAATATAACTTGGATATAAATCAAAAAAATTGGGTATTTCCACCAAGATAGACGAATTGGCAAGGTCTTTGGATTTAAATTTTTGCGAATTTGTATATCATTTCAAAACTTTTGTAAAAAATTTTTAGAAATAGTATTTATTAAAATCTCCTGATTCAATTCAGGAATTTTGAAACTTTAAATTTTCGTCATTTTCACGTCATGATTTCAGCTGGTCAGCCGAGTACGGTAAGGCTCACTACCGGCAGCACCCTAATAGACAAAGCGAATCTGACGCAAAGTTGGGCACAGGTGATTTAAATATACCTTTTCGCCAATTTTTTAGGGCCAAACCATCGACGTCAAACTGCAGAATCTTGACGCGAACAATCTCGTAGTATCGCTAGTGGGCAATGTAAGTTTTTATCCGAAACATTTAGGTTTCCCATTTTAAGTTTGACTTCATTTATTGTAGCGATTGAAAGTTATTTTGGCCATCAAATCTTTTTGGAAATGGAAATATCAAACTTTGCTATGGGATTTTACAATTTTTTTTTTTGCATTTTACGGAGAGTTAACAAAAGAGAAAGTAAGAACAAGACTACAAAAATCTGAATTTTTCAATAGCTTCCTAGCAGCATCCACGCTGTACCATTCCCGCGAAAGTTGCGGCCCTAAGAAGAAAAATGCATGAAACATAGCATTTTCTCGTACTTTCGCCCAAATTTTTTTGTTGATGTCCAGAAATGTCTAGTAACTTAATAGGAATTATTTTATCAGTGGTTTTACTAAAAAAAGATTGTATTTCCACTAGAAAAACCATCTAAGAAATTTTTTAATAGTCGAAATTTTGGCCAAAAACGGCCATTTTTGGTCGAAAAGCTATATTTTTATATGTTTAACCAAAATTCTGTAAAATTTTCACGTTTAGGAATAGTAAAAAAGCATTTAGAAACAATTTCACTACTGAAATGTTGTTGTTTGTTCTTGTTTTTGTTGCATAATTTACACTTTAGAGCGTGACGCTAAAACAGCCATCCCCCGACCCGTCCGCCCTGTATTTTGCGACCCGGGGCAACAACTTCGATTTGATGCTGCTGAAAATCACCGACAGTAATGGAATACAAAAATATGTTCCGTTAGTCGAATAAACGTACGACGTACAACCTTCCAGCAATCAACACCTGTCACCCCCTAGCCCTAACTTTTCAACCATACGTCCTATTAATACCTGGGTATCTGAAAATGTCCGCCGTGACCGAATTACTATAAAAAAGTTGTTTCTTGACGCCAAAAATGCTAGACAAATTTTCTACGAGGTTTTTAAATGCGAAAATATTAAATCGCGGTGCCTTAATGTACTACCGGTGAAACGAAAATATTTTTCGCGATTTTTTCGATTCAAGTGTACTCTAAGCTGATTCCACAGAGCAAGAGCTACATTTTGTTACCGTTAACAGCTCTGTAGGACAAAAGATAGCCGAGATACGAAAAGTCACTTTGGAGCAGAAAAAATTAACTGTAGGTAATCCAGACTTCTAACTGTTGTAAAAATTATCAGTAATGTAGTTACTGTAATAAAAAGTATTATTAAAATTAGTAAAGTAATAAAAATTATCTAGTGGTAAAATAGTAACAGTTAAAAATGGTATTTTTTTAAGGTGGTCCTTACAAGGTTACAAAGTGACGCTGACAGGGGAACAAGGGCAAACTAGCAGAGATTTTTAAACGATAAAATCCGTGATGCAATTTTCTATAAACATTTATTACAATATACACACACAGAAAATAGACAAGTGGCCGGCTGTCGAGTTATTTTAAATCCCATCATTCGTCTTCTCTCCTCCTCATGCTCCTTCCCCTGCTCATCCTCCTCCTCCGGGCCCATCCTTCTTCCGCGTCGACGTTGCCGCCGGCACCAGCTTCTGAAAAATGACGTTTCCAACACCTACAAAATGCAAAATTTGCAATTACAATTTTTTTTGGCTCGTACAAAAATGTTTCAAAGATTGTTATGAGTCCAGTGATTCCTGAAGTATCAATCTTAGGTCGGGGAGTCAAAATTACAAGTTTCAAAAAAGCTTCAAAGCTCGGAAAAATTCTATTGATGTACTAGCAAAAGCTGCAACAGGTTTATTTCGAAAATCAAAAAAGCAAAATTTCTGGCTAATAATGTTTTATTAAATTTCCATAAGCTTTCGTTATATTTTATAGTTTTACTATTAACTACATTTACAATTTGACTATACCTTTGTCCTTGGGGACGACTCGTCGATGCTCTTCACCTGAAAATAAAATAGAGGCGTATGCCGCTACAGTATGCCGCGGGTTACGGTAGCCAGATCTGGCATATTTTGATTTTGTCGAAAATAATTTTTGTCGAAAACCATTTTGTGGAGAAAGCTTTTTTTTGGAAATTTCATGCTGTCGAAATTTCGTTTTGTCGAAAATCATTTCGTCTAAATATCAATGTTTCGAATAAATATATAAATAAAAATAACGAATAAAAATAGAATAAACGAAAATAAAACAAAGCGTACGTCTTGGCAAGTGTCGTCATCGCGGGCGCCCAGCTGCGCCAAGTTCGAGTTGGACTGCTCGCGGACGGCCATCTCGGCGCTTGACGTCTGCAACAGGATCAGCGTGACTTTAAAGTGATGCGCCTCGGAAAACCTGTTATTATGCCTCAACAAGATTTTTCTTTTGATGAAAAAGATGTTTTTCATATAAAAACAATCACGAAAGTAATTTTTTGAACTTATTATTAACGCACCGATTAGCAAAAAAATTAAAATTAAGGTAAATTAAAAATACATTAAACCTTTTACAGCTTTTTCGAACCAGAATTGCCAAGTGTTCGACTTTTTCAAAACATTTCTAAATTTTTTGAAAGTTTGGTTTTTTTTAATATAGAAAAGTTACTTGTAGTCGATTAGTAGGTCAAAAAATTCAAAAAATTTGGAATGTTTCAACGCAAATTGAAGTCTGCGTTAAATCTCAAAACTATTCCACTCGTCGTCGGTTATTTTATCAAGTTTTTTGTCCAAAAATGCGAACAAATTTCACAGAATTTCACACAGACCACCTAGGAATATGTGTAGCACTAGAAGGTTTACCCAAGTTTTATATTTTTACATTTATTTATATTTACCCGTCTCGGCTGCTGCAGCTCGGCCGGGGTGACGAAGGCGAGCTGGTCAAGACGCGCGCTCGCCGCCAGCATTTGAACCTATAAATTGGCAGGTTTAACGTGAATTTTTAGGAATTAAAAATATTAAACTAAAAAACGTACAGAGTACACCTCTGCGGTGGGCAACTCACGCGTCGTCGCCGTCAACGTGATCGCCGATGGGCCGCACGACGTTCCGACTGATAAAAACGGTGTAATCTGATGTGTTTGAAGTACTAGTGCTCGAAAATATTAATTCGCGCCTTGTTACAGCCTTGAAACATTTATTTTTACGAACAAGCTTTGAAAATGTCAGGTTTTCTAAAAATTGGTAGTAGTTAATAGAATTTAAAAGAAGTGTTTCTAGACTATTTTTTGCAATCCTGAAACGAAAAATTACACTAAAAAATGCAAAACGTAAAAATTAGTGATTTTCCACCAAAATCTCCACGAAAAAATTGTTTTCCAAGTTTTTTTGATTGTTTCCATTTAATATGTTTAACTTCTAATGAAAAATGCTATTAAAACACCTACTGTTACTTTATTAGACATTTCTATATAGTTAGAGGAAAGAAAAATACCATAAGTACCTTGACTTTGATAAGCGAGACTTGGCGCGGGCACGGTGACGCTAGCCGTGCTGCGGGTGGTACGCTCCGATGCTGGGGCCGCTGCAAAAATAATGTATTTTCTCTCCTTTCCAATCGGATCTGCAATAAAATGCTCTATTCGATGTGTGGGACGGAATCGCGTTGCTTCCTTATTAGAATTTTTTTTGAAAGCTAGATTTAAGCGAAAATGAAAAATCGCTTCGGCCCGCCTTTACAAAACAAATTTGGCTTCCTTTTTAGGCTAATTCGGCATGCAGCCAGTAGATACAACTTATTCTCATATTGATGATCAATTTCTATGGTGACTTTATGGCGGTTCGGAAAGATGTCCGGGTCAAAAATTTGAAGTGCCCTCGAGAGAAACGCAAAAATCTTCAAAACTACTAGGGCTAAAAACCTGTAATTTTGGTCCCACATACTCATGAACCCAATAGATAAATGCAAAGAGGGAACATCGGAATCTGGCCACTAAATCTTCAGAAAGAAATTTCCAAAGTTCGATTGCGCGAACTTATGTTCCAACCTAATAGTTTATCAAAACTTTTTCATGTAATAGTAAAAAATGAAGATACATTATGCCCTTTTTCTTGCGCTGACCTTCCACATTTCATGAAACTCACAATTTGTACCGGACTTGGTCTTGGACTGGCGCGAGGAGGGCGGATCTTCTGAAAGAAAGCGATGGATAATGCTTGAATGCCACAATGAGAAAAATAAAATAAATGGAAAAGCCTAAAACATAAAATTCCCGGCACTGAACTGTTAGCAGGGGGGGAAGGTTAGCAGCAGCAATATTTTTTGCCAGTTATACTTTCTCAGTTTCTTACAGCATTTGACAAAAGTTTCGAATTTCAAACATCTTCCGAATTTTTAAAAAACTAAGAAGAACATTATCAAAATGCGCCATTTATTATTAACAGGTAGTCGGAAAAACAAAAACTAGTCCCCCCGCTAACAGTGCTGTACCAAATTACCTTGAACACGACGACGACGCCGACGGCGGCTCTTCTTCTTTTTCTTGGGTTTGTCCTGCGGGGCCGGCGTCGCGGGCTGGAAAATTGGATTTTTTCCAGTATTAAATTTACAGAATAAGGCTCTGTTTTTTAACTATACTATGTAACGTACCCCAGCAACAATTGGTTCGAGCTTCGGCGGCAGCACGCCGACGACGTTTAAGAGTTGAATGTCGAGCCGTGCATCACTGAAAGGGGAATGATGAATATAATTTATCAAAATCCAATTAAAATTGTTAACTTTAATATTAAAAAACTAAAAACCTTAAAACTGTTATACCGTAAAAATCTTAAAAACGTACCGCGTCATAATGCACATCATGTCATTGTTGTCCGGGTAGCCGTGCAGCGCGCCAAAACTGCAAAAAATATCAGGGGGTATTCGGCTGTTAGCGGGGGGGGCTAATTCTAACTTTTCACAGAATAATATGCATTCTATTGTGTTTTTAATAGTTTTGATCGCAGAGAAGTTATAAAACATGTTTAAAAAATTTTAATTTTTGAAATTTTTGAAGCTTTTGCTAATTTTTGAAACATTGTGGCCGACAGGTGTTACGAAAACTTCATGATTTACTAAAAAAGCAGTCTGCAGAGAGTGTTTCGGAAGCTAGAAAAGCTATAGTTTAAGTACCTTAATGTCATCTTCAAATGCTTGTCGCCGGGGTCGAGCATGAACGCGTCGATGGTCGACATCCAGACGCGCGTGATTTCCTGGAAACCCGATTGGTACTTGACTGTTAGCGGGGGGGGGGGTGGTATCGGGCAGCGGGCGGGGGGCGGATTAATTTGTATTGTTCCACTTACCTGTTAATAATAAATAATATTTGGTAAGACTCCAGATAACCCCCAGCCGGCACCCAACTTTTGTATCTCGGCTCCCTGTTCATCTACAGGTGTGTTAAGTATACCAAAATGTTCGTCTTGCTGTGGCGAGTATTTTGGTATACTTTACACACCTGTAGATGAACAGGGAGCCGAGATACGGTAGGTGGGGGTCGGCTGGGGGGGGGGTATCTGGGGTTTAGCCTTTTTATGTTTTTCGTAACTTTTGATCGCTAGAGAATTGCAAAAAATGGCTTAAACATTTTTGCAAATTTGAAAATTTAGACCTTTTTGGCGATTTTTCATACATTTTTGCATCATAATGAAATGTTCTAATGACACCAATAATTTTTTGGGGTTTTATTGGGTCGTGTGGAATTACTGAGAAAAATCCCCCGCTAACAGTCCAGGATTCGCACAAAACGATGTTTCAGCTAGAAAATAGGATGCAAGCTGTTGGAAAGCATTAATGTTTGTCATCGATTTCCGCTGATTAATGAACATTTATAGTTTCTTGTGTTATAAACCTTCAAAGGCTTTAATATTTAATGGATTAAATTTTTATATAACGCATCAATAGTTTTAAAAATTTTGGAATTTTCGGGTATAAATTTAATTTAATTTTGATTTTATCTGTAATTGTAAATTTTTCCTTTTTATAAGTACCTTTCGGTGGCGGATCTCGATGGATGGCTGCACGATCATCCGGCCCAACAACGGCGCCATGTAGTCGGAAAATTGGAATAGAAAAAATAGAAGATAACTGAATACTGGGGGTGTAAGAGTAAGAAATGACCCATTTTCCGTTGCATTCCTCTTTCCGATACGTTTCGATAATTTATTCACCGCCCAGAAATGCAAATTATTCATGTAAAAAAGGAGAATTTCCATGTTTCATCCCCGCTTGTACTGCACCGGTTTTGCGCGGCCGCAGCGGAAGAACACAGCTTGTACCTAAAAAATGAACTGCGGATTTTTTTTCATTTTCCGTCTCTGCTAGCTTTTTAAAAATAAAGAGCGTATTATTATGGTGTTTTTAGAAATTTTCAATTGCTAGAAATTTACAAAAATATTCGAAACATTTTGGAAAATCGAAAATTTTGGCGTTCTTTGGTCATTTTTCATACATTTTTCAACAAAACCCAATAATTTTCCCCAGTTGTTATATTTTTATCCCTTTTTTATAGATAAAAACACTTTTGTAGACTTAGTTGTAAAGAATGCGTAAAATGCTGTAAAAATAGTTTAGATTTCGTTACAGTACCGTGTAGGATTACTCGGGGGAAAAAATAAAGGTATCCTTCCGCCGTTAAAAGGAAAACCCACAATTTATTTGTAAGAATTTTTTATGTCATATTTTTTGTTTTCCAAGACTGATAAAATCGACATTGCTGCCGTCAAAATTTTTATGTTTCAATCTAAACAGTTCAGAAAACCGTGAAAAATCCGACAATGCGTGTTTAGAGAAGTATGCCTATTAACCTCTTTAAATTTCGAACGTATCCTAAAATCATGAAAAATAATAGTATATAAATATATATAAATCCATTTAGGTGATTTTTCTCATGTCAATTCAGAAAATAAAAATGTTATCGAAAGCCGCGTATCCAAAGAGTTTTTCACAATTCGCAGTCACAAAAAAAAAATCGCCTTTTTCATCACTTTTTCACAACGTTTATTTTGTTACAATTTGTATGCCTTTTTAGCAAGGCAAGCTAGCAGGGATTACTGAGGAAATGTGAAAACGCTTGATTTTTCTTACCTCACGTGCCCTGGCGGCATTCCGTGCATAACTCTGAATACTATCGCACGCGTACTCCCCATTCCGGACGATGATTTCGGCGGCGAAAAAGCCGCGCATGTTGAAGCCCTGGAAACGGTAATAAAAAAATGTTATATAAAGATTGAAACAAAAAAATAAACGAAGCCTTTCAAGCCTGGACAGCAATCGATAGTGAAACACTTTTTCAAAAGAATTCGGCAATTTCAACTGCTATTAGCCCAATCCGGCCGTCCATCAGATATTCGACTGTTAGCGGGGAGTTCGCCAGCGGAATAAATTTTTAAATTTCCTCCTATACCTACATATTAGCATATCGTATTTTTGTATTGTTTTTCGTAGTTGTTAATTGCTACGAAGTTGAAAAAATCTTTTTAAGACTAAAGCTTTTCTAAGGCTTTGAAAAATGTAACATTTTGACCGTTTTTGGTCATTTTTCATACGTGTTTTGACGAAAAATCAAAAATTTTCAAAAAACTATCTATTTTTCTGCGCTTCTTCGATCTAAAAACTGCATAAAGTGCTATGAAAATGGTATTATCTTCGTTATAGAGCCATACGGAATCACTGGGGGCTGAAAAATTGTCCCCCCCCCCCCCGCTAAGAGAGCAGTATGCAATTTTTCCTAGGAAATGTTGAAAAGAGTTTCACGTTTCCTGAAGAAATATATTTTCCTGAAAGCGGTTTTCGTTTTTTCTTTAGTAGATGAAAATACCCACCCGAACGAAGGCGCCGCCACCTCCAAGCTTATTCACCTGAAATTTTCTATTGTAATTTTTATTTATTTATTTATTTTTTATTTTGTAATTTAATCTAATTTTGATTTTTTTTTATTCTATAGTTTATTGCTTTCTACCTTAATTTTAATTTTATTTAAAGTTTTGCGATGTTACCCTTTGCCGAACCGAGTTGGCCATCCATGCCTGCGATACGGGACTGTGAAGATATATCGTCTTCAGCACCACCACAGCATCTTTTCCGCTTCTTTTCTCGCGTGCCGCCGGGAACTCATCGTGTGAAATCTCGGCACCAACCTGAAAGAAAACGTGTTCCAAAATTTGGATGATTGGCTCATCGTAGAAATTACATTATTTAGTAGCTATAGCTTAGCAGTATAGCAGCTAACCATTTTCTACCAAAACTTTAACATTTTCTACGTTTTTAGAGCGTTTTTCAATTTAAATAGTGTTAAATTTTATTACAAAAACACAATGAAAATAATTAATATTACGTACTTTCAAAACCTTCATTAAATACAAAAGATATCGATTTTCGACCAAAAATGGCCACCAAAATTTGAGATTTTTAACGTTTTTTAGATAGTTTTCCGCTTGAAATATAGTCTGACTTAACTAAAAACAATATTAATGCAAAAACGTCTCCCGCCGATGATACAAAAGAACCCTATGTCAAAATTCCATTCCTCAAAAAAACAACCCACAATGGGCCCGTCACTTTCGCCGCCAATCCAGCAGTACCAAAAGCTTACGCAGAACGCGATGCAGGTGATGATCAAGAGGCGACACCGGAAGGAGGAGGACATTCTTTGAAGTGGCAGGATTCTGGGGAGCGGGAATACCATCTTCCACGGCCCGTCCAAGCACGCATCCGCTTTATAGTCATTGTAGCGGGGCGCACAATGTGTATTCCTCCCCTAAAGCCAACGCGCGCGCTCCAAAAATTCACAAGCCAAACACGCTGAAAAGGGGCTCGGCGGGGCCGTTAGGCCAAGATTGCAATTGGTTTTGGATGCGTGACGCGCCGGTAGGGGAGAAGATTGCGTGGCTTACAATTTCGGTACTGGACAGTTAGCAGGGGGGAGGAGGATTTTCACAGGGGGGATTTTTAGTAGGCTTTAGTACTTTCAGCCGATAAAAGATCTAAACTATTTTGATCACATTTTTACACAGCTTTTAGATGTAAAAACTCCTAAAAACCGATAAAATTTCGAGAAATGACCAAATTAAAATCCTCTAATTTTTTGAAAAGGATTTTAATAAATTTATGGCAATCAACAACTACTAAAAATGCTAAAAATCAGAAAATGAAAAGTAGCTTCCCTCCAATAAGTGCGACTTTCAAAAAATCTCCAAATTTTCGTCGAAAAATCGATCTCTCTTGATTTTTGGGTAGCAAAATTGCAAAATTCTAACGTTTAGGAATAGTAAAAACAATTTAGAAAACTTCCGCTATTTACTTAGAACATTTGGATCCTAAGGAAAACCGTCGAGCCCCGGATAATGGAAAAGCAGCATATACCTGACAGCCATCCGAGGATGGCTTCAGGATCCTGAAGCCGTTTGCCAAAGTCGGTCCCCCGCGAATACTCAAGTCAAACTTCCTAGTCTTCTCTAGAAATTAGAAAGCAAGAAGCCTAAAACAACGACAAATCCACAATTT